AGGGCGCGCTTGGCGCCGCTGTGAGGAGAAAGGCGGCCCGGCGGGGATGTGGCTGAGGCGCTGAGCGCGACGCCATCTCCACCGCCATGGCCGAGCCGCCCGGGACGGCCGGGTCCCCGCCGCCGCCGCCACCACAGCCGCCTTCATCCTCCTCTTCCTCGTCGTCGTCGTCGTCGTCCGTGGTGGTGGCCGCCGCCGCGGCCTCTGCCTCTTTGGACCCGGACTTCCCGCCTCAGAGCCGGCCGCGCTCCTGCACTTGGCCTTTGCCCCGGCCGGAGGCGGGGGTGCCCGAGCCGGAGCCCGGAGGCGGAGGAGGAGGAGGAGGAGGCCGAAGCCGGGGCTCCGCCGACAGGCTCTTCGGGGCTGCCTAGGCCGCTCCCGGGCCCCGCTCCTCCTCCTCCTCGTCGTCGTCGTCGTCCGCCGGGGCGCGTAAGAGCGGCTCGGGAGGAGGAGGAGGAAGCGGCGGCGGCGGCGGGTCGTCGTCGTCGTCTTCAGGCGGGGCTCGACGGAACGCGTGGGGCAGCCAGTCTTACGCCGACCTGATCAGCCAGGCCATCGAGAGCGCCCCGGAGAAGCGGCTGACGCTGGCGCAGATCTACGAGTGGATGGTTCGCTCCGTGCCTTACTTCCGCGACAAGGGCGACAGCAACAGCTCCGCCGGCTGGAAGGTCGGTCCGTCGGCCCGGAGGGAAGGGAAGGGAAGGGAAGCGGGACGGATGATGGGTCGGGCGGGGGACGTTTAGGGTAACTGGCGACGTTGCTAAGCCACCCTTTTGCCGAGACACCGAAAGCCATTGCCAGTGATTCTGTAGTCTTAACAGAAAGCCGCACAAAAGGGGGGAAATAACACCTCTTCCTGACCCGAGTTTCTGTATCATCCTGAAAAGGAGACTTTGACACCGTGATGTAGCCACTTGTAACCAGAAACTTGCATTTCGCCCCCACCCCCTTCCTTCTCCATCCTCCCCTGCCCCATAAGAACAAAACAGGCTGAAAGTTCAGCAGGTGACATCTTTTTTCATGACACAGAACTGTGGCGGTGAAAAGAAAAGTAATGTATACTTTTTATTGATTCTTTTGCTGCTTCTTTTGTTTCGGTGGCGATTGTTATTGTGGTTTCGTTTTGTTAACAGTTAAAGGTTGCAAGGGTTCTGCACAGAAAGAAGGGGGAAATGGCAGGGTCAAGAGGCTGGGCACTCTGAAATGTTGAGGGGCTCCTGAGTATTGCACAGGTGTTTGGATGATGGGCTTAAGCCACAGATATGGGTTCCAATGTTACTGAAATGGGCAGATGAATAGGTGGGGCTAGGAAACTGTAAGTATGTTTGTATTAATGTATTCTCAAAGTGTTTGTATTCTTTAGCACTGCGTAACTGCAGACTACCTCCACACATCTGGAAGTAGGCTTCCAGCCTTTGGGTCATGGGGTGTGACGTCCAGGCAGTCTTCAGCTCCCAAACTGACTACTGCAGTAGTGGTTATGGCCACTTGACTGGGCTCAGACCCAGAACATTTGAATCCTAAAGAGCTGTTTGGGAAAATAGCTACCTCAGGCTACCCAGAGGTCTGTTTGGCTTCTCTTATTTCGTTAGCCAGCTTATTCACCAAGTTACAAATTGATCCTTGATTTCAGTGGTATTGATCGAGCCAAACCCTAGTAAGCCGACAAGGAAGTCCAGTAGCATTTTGCTAAAACTGCTGTTGGCACTATGACCCCTGAATTGCTTGGGTGGCACCCCCTTATGAGGGTGCACTTGCTTGATGCAGCAGCCTTAGTGTGGTGACTGGCTTCTGATAGTAAATATGTAGTTTTCCAGCCATACAGAGGTTGGGATGGGATGAGACAAGTGTTTCTCCTCTGCCTTGATACCGATCCTTGGCGAGTGTGACCAGGGAGGAGCATTGAAAGACATGAATGCCACAAATCTTAGGAGACAGAGCATTCCAAACAAGCTCTGACTGAGTTGTCTTAAAACTGGGGGTAGAGAGATCTTGGCCCTTCAGATGCTGATGAAGTACTATTACTGTTGTGCGTCACCATCAGCTAAGTGCTCATAGGAGTTCAACAACATTCAGTAAGCTGTATGATCTGCAGTGTTGCATTGATGGCTCTCCTTGGGTTGCTGGACATTGAGAAGATGGCTTCGCCTTGAGCCATCTTCTCAGTTCTCTTGGAAACTTCAGAATTTCAAAACCTTAACACTTGTGTATGGAGTTTTGATGGGTTTTTTTGTCTTCATTAAGAGACTGATGGATTTGACTGGGTGTTCCTCTGCATGTGGTGGTAATGTTGACTTCTGCAGGGTGTGTCTCTCTACTGAGGTCTGGGATTGGTTCAAACTCATTTTCTTTGGGTCATCTCACTGCCCTGATTACTCCGTGATGTCCCAGATACTCATAGTGCAACTGAATTCCAAGGGCAAACAAGTTTGCAGAAGATCACTGCATGTGTGGCTGTGAGCTTGCTTTTGCTGTTGCTGCCAGGAATCTGGAATTGAGTTTTTTCTAAGGCTTGAAAAATCTCCAATGGGGTTATGAATCTATCTCCTTTGCAGCTCATAGCTGATAAAGGGGTTCCAAGAATGTCAGTTTAATATTAGGGATGCTGTTGGTGGTGGTGGTGGAGAAGGAGAATTGCGATCTTATTTTGCACTACAGAAGTCGGTTCCATAACTTTCCTTTGAGTAATCTGTCTGGGTGAGGTAGGCCTCAGTCGTGTTTCAATCAGCTCAAAGAGATTTCTGGACCTTAAATTCTCTCTGATAAGCATCTAAAGATGGAATCCAAATAAATATTAGGATGTGAGACTAGAGGTGGGAGGAGGATAATGAATCTGGATATTCTCTCCGTCCCATAGCTCTTCATTTCCTCCCTCCCCCTGAGCTTGACCCTTGAGTTCACTTTGTTTCAGTACTTCCAAGAAAGGCCACTCCTTTGTAAATGTTCTCAGCGATTTCTTGGAAAGGCACGAGCCCGTCTAGGACTCCAGGCCAGGCTGCTGTGTAAGCCCGAGTGTCACTTGAAAAGTTTTCAATACTGGGCTTCAGTTCTTTGTCACCCAGCTGCGTTGATGCTTAATATAAATAACTCCTTCATAGCATGCATTCCTGGCTCACAAAACCCTTCTTTTAGAACAGGCACTCTGAGAAGAGGCGAACAGGCCTTCCCGGCTCTGAGGAAGCTCAGTAAGACTGAAAAGGTATTCAGAAAGAAGGTTCTTTCTTTCCAGCATGAGATTTCCACCCCCACCCCCCAAATGGGGAATGCCAGTTTTAAAAGGAGTTGGTTCCTCTGGTGGCTTCAAATGAGGTGGTGGCCCCCTCCCCTATGCCTGTCCTGCCTTCCTAAATAGCATCACATGCCTTAATTATCCACTTTTAAGATGATATAAATAAATCACCTTTTTTCCCAGGGATTGTGGGATTGCTGTAATCTCACAGTTGCCTTTGCTGTCTTTGGTAATTATCTACAAAATGTGCTGCCTCTCAGCACTACATGGCTATTTTTGCTTCTTTTTGGTTCCGCCTCAAAAGTGGAGCTCATATGAGGTTACAGAATATGGCTAACACTTCTGTAGATCAGAATTCATTTATTTATTACTCTTGTTTTGGTTATTCAGAGATGCAGAGATTTGCCCGAGGATGTGTGATAGACATCCTGGAGGAGTAGGACTTGAACTCGCCACACTGGCTTCATCCTGTTTTATTAGCCAAATTAATTCACGTTTTGGTCAAGATCCTCAGTATTGAATTGATAGAGTTCCGTGGGCATGTACAGAATAGTCTCTCACAGCTTTTAGGCAGTTTTTAATTCTGCAGCATGTCCATGTATGGTTGAGCAGTTTTAAACAAGGCCTTGTCCAAAATGTAGCTGAAGAATATATTTTTGGCCGTGAGGAACCATTTTTATATGAAAGTCATGATGCCTGATTGTGTGTCATGTCTCTGCCCTGAAGATTTTGAGTGAATTATGACTGTTAAAAGGCCCATTTCCAGTGCTTGTTCTGTGGTGTTTGAGCTCAGGGCACAATAGGATTTTGCCAGCTATAGGGTACCTTAATATCCTCACAGAAACGATATATGGAATAGTGGATTTCAACCAGTGGTCCATGTACCATCAGTGGGACACGGAAATGGTCTAGGGAGGATGAAGTGTTTTATATAGATACAGATATTCTTGACAGGAGACTCACATACTTCTTCCATCTCAGATGTTCTTCCTCTTCCACTGAACTTGCTGTTGCCAAAGGGATGCTGATGGAGTGGTGAGGGAGGAAGAGGCACACCAGCTTAGCTACCCAGACCAGCTGACTCGATTCTGGTGATCCGTATGGTGACAGATGATGGATGCAGCCTGGTCATCCTTGGTCCATAACAGAATGTCTGTAAACAGAGAAATGTCTGTTTTAGGAAAAGGTGCCTTTTTTATTTCTTTTATTTAGACCAGAGGGTTTTCAAATGCTGGGCACACCCCAGGGATGCTAAGAAAGGTGTTTCTGCTTGCCTCTGTTGAGGATAGAATGCCACTCTGTAGTGTCATTGGAGGAGTGGAAAATTTATTACAATTTGGTTGCTTTCTGCATGTGAAGTTGTGTGACTATATTCGCCCCAAAAAGAAAGGGGTTTGGGGCAAGTTTGTCCTGGGTGGAAAAAACCTGTAGCAATGAGTTGGGTGCCTTGGGCGCTGCTTTATGTTTGGCCTCAGCTTTGTAAGCATGGCTACAGAAGTGAACGGCCAACATCCCCTTCTTTCTTTTTATGATCCTGCAGGGAACTGGGACATTATGCTGAACAGAGAGGAGGGATGGAGCATTTCTTCCATTCTCCACTCCAGTGCACCTCTGGGGTGGTATGTAGCCGAAAGGGGTGGTCATAAAGGAGAAGATGTGGTAGAGAGGCTTAGAAGGAGGGATGAGTGGGTGAATAACACATGCACCCTGACAGCACTGATTCAGTAAAATATCCAAGGCAGGTGTGCTAACTGAAGATGCCCCACCCCAGTGCCATTGTGATTTGGCACCCCAGAGAGCATATTCCCATGCTCTCCTCACACAGTACATGGCCTGTTCTTTGTAGACTAGGTTGAATCATCAGGGAGGTATGGTTGCTGTCCTGCAGCTATACTAGCTGAGGCAGAATCTCAGTATTTCTTGGGGCTTGTCTTCTCCCTGGCCACCAGCAACTGTATTTGGCTTCTTTTAACTAGCATGCCAATTGAACTTAACCCTCAGCTTCACTAATATAACTACCATATTTTCTTCTTACACCGGTTCTTTACTTAACAAAAGAAGTGATGTGTTAAGGTTGGAGACAGGTTTGGGTAACTGCTGTGGGTGGAGATAATTTATGCATGCATTTCGTTGGTTCAACAACTGCAATGTAACTTGAAACTACAGGACACCCAGTACACTTAAGTTCAACTGAGTGCGCTCTTACTTTCCTGAGTCTGTCTGATGAGAGTGTTTTACATAGTTACTGTGAAACTTAGAATTCACTGCTAGAGAGTTTGGATTCTGTAGTTACAGAGAATGCACAAGAGTTCTGTAGCAGAGAATTCTGGGAATACAGATTTTTAGATTTAGTTTTTATAAATGTATTAGCTTTACTTTTTATTGTTAAGTTACATTTAATTGTGTTTTGTTTTCTGAATTACCCTTGTAGCCACATGTTCCCTTACATTACTTGTTGTGTGCGCTTGTAGAACTCAAGCAACAGCTCAAGGAAGGAGGGCATGTCAAGAAACTGGAAAATGGGGGATCATGGGTTCAGTTGCCCATTTGAAACACAGACCTGTTAGCATCTGCCTGGGATGAGCAGGCCAGAAGAGGAGGAGAAAATGCCATTAATTGAGAGGCCACACCATCTGTGCCTTATCACTGTGTGAGAGAAAAAATCTCCAAGCTAAAGCACGCTCCTTGGTACGGCACTAATTGACAAATGATTCCAGCTAAATAAAGGGAGGGGGAGAGACACTCTTGAGAAGTTATTCTATTCTTCAAAGAAGTTCAGGGTGATTTACCAAGCTCATCCTCTTGAAGAACCTAGAAACTGGAATAATAGGTATAAACTTCAGAGGGATGTTACTTGATTTTGGCTTAGTATCTCTAAGGAGACTGCTATGCTTATTTGTTGCCTTACTGCTTGACTTATACTCCATGGAGGCTCTGGAACTATGCTGACATTTAATTAGTATGTATTAGCCTAGAATAATTAGCATCCTTGTTCTCCTTTTTCCTACTTTTTTATTTTTGAAGGTGTAGCATAAATAAACTGAAATTGCAAAGAAAAACCACAAACAAAACAAAAGCAATAAAAAAATGATAAATACAGTAATGCTAGTACTTGCTATAAACTACTATTATATATTTAAAAGTTTCACCACATGCATCTTATATTATGCGTATAAATCAGTATAGGCCTTCCACATGCCCGATAAATGTGAAATTGGCATCTATATGATGATTTGTTCAAATGAAGCTAGTGCTAAGAGATCCTCCAGCAATTGTGTAGTGGAGGGTGGATGTTTAGCCTTCCAGGCTTTTACTGTGTCTCTTAGCAACCATAAGAGCCCATAAAGTCTAGTTTTGTTGTCTCTTTGCTAGGCCACATAGGACAGGAAGATAATTTAAGATAACCTACATATCCAGAAACATCAAGGACCTCTATTAATACAAGTGACAACTTCAATCCAAAATAAATGCAGCCCATCCATTTTGCTTTCACTTACCATCTACCTTCCCACTTCCTTGAGAGATGTGTTTGTGTGTGTAAGCTTTCTAGTGTTGAAGCTCTTCCAGTTCCATCAGAGAGTATAAGCATCTTTCTTGGCATGAGAGTTTCTTGGCATGCCACAGGAGCTTGCAGTTTGATCCGAGAGGCATCTTTCGTACCTCCTAGGAAAGTCTGGGCATTTGGCATGTTAGACTTTAATAAAAACTATAATTTCCTGTCTGTCTTAGTGAGGACAGTTTGCCCCCAGCTTGCTGCCAAATACTCAGAGTGTTTGAGCAACTCTGGCCGGGTGCCGCCACCTCCCTGATGTTTTAATAACATCATTAGAAAACTTTGTTGGGTTATGATGTCAATATAATACTTTCTTGTGATCTACAGCAGTATATTTTCAAGGTGCTGTATGATCAAAAAGTCTAGAGGAAGCAGGGTGGATTTGATTTGAATTTTAAAAAAATAATTTAAATTGTGATTTAAATCTGTTAGTTTTTTTTAAAAAATCATTAATTTTTTAAAAATACACCCTGAGAGGAAAAAACGCAAGTGTGCCATCTGAAGTGGGGTCAATCTATGTATATAAGTAGAAAAGCAGAAGCCTGATAGAGCTCAGTTAGGTTTTCACACACTACAGACATGATAGGGAAGGTTTTGTGGTTGATTTGATTTCTTTTTCTTTCACAGGTACTAACAGTTGTCTTGTATTAAGGATAAGGATTCTATTCACTGAGGGCTCCATCTAATCAAGATGAAGCAGGTCCCGTCAGTGACCTGGAAAAGAACTAAAAACCCTATAAACCTCTAAATGGCTCAAGCCTTGGGCATTTATAGACTGTCTCCTCTCTGTTGCATGACAGCAAGTGATTAGCAAGGAATGGGTTTCCCTGTAATGAGGCACACATGTATGATACTGAAACGGCTACAGTATGCATTTAGGGTAGCTGCCTTGTAACAGAGTTCTCTTCCCTTGGAGGCCTCGCTGAAACATTAGCTTGGTTGCCAGAAAGTTGGGCTGGCTCTAGGCAGCTGGAGGTTAAACCTGCAGACGTGCATATTAGTTGGCAAAGAAATTTTGTCTCTTAAAAAAATGGAAAATATGGACAGTTGTTCATGCTGCACAGTTCTGGTGATGGGATGTGGTATAGATTTAGGTAAATCACGCAGAGTGTTTCCCATTAGTGTTCTGAGCTACTTGCACAAGAACAGATGGACTTAACACTGTTTTCTCAAAGGGTTGCAGATGATCTTGACTTGCAGATGGCTGAAAGCATTGTTGGAATCACTTCGACACAAAGAGGCTCCTTGGGGAAGGAGCAGTGTTGAGCAGCATGCTCAGTAACTGCGAGTTCATAAACCCTGCATTTAGGTTAAATACTGTTTAGTTAAAAACAGGGTTTGAGTACAGCCATGTGGCACCAAACCTCTTGCTAGCTCTCCTCCTCCTCCTTACTAAAATAGTCGTAATTTCTTCCAAGATGAATTATTCTGTAACAAATATTGTTTTCTAGGACAGTATTGTTGCATTGCATCTCCCATCATCCGCAGCCAACTTAGCAAATGGTGAGAAGGGCAGGAGTTGTAGCCTAATTGCATCTGGAAGGCCACCCAGCCTATATCCCTGTGCTACAATAATCCTTTCCTTTGTCCGTGGTGACAAGCATTTGTAAGGTCTTTGTGTTTAGAGGATTTGCCATTAGGATTTTGTGTCAGTACGATTCTTGGACATTTTTGCTTGGAAGATGGTGGCTCAGTCTTTGCCGTGCTTGGCCACAGTCTTGTGGAGAGGGTTAGTGTAGTTCAGAGGTCAAGCACATGCTTTGTGTTAAAAAGGTCCATGTTTACGCCTGACATCTTTGCAAAATAGGACTGGAACGACCCCTCTCTGATACTCTGGAGAATTGCTATGAAGGTCAAGATGGAAAGCTGTTTGAATTCCATTTCAGAACAGTTCTGAGCAGATGGCATTCTACAGGTGAACAGGGCAATTCCCCCACCACCCTCGTAGGGTAAAAAAAGATGAGCATATTTTAGCTTTAGAATGGCAACAAACACCTTTGCAAAATCAAGGAAACCATAAATTAATGGCATTATGGGGAAGGAGATATGACTGTCAGTTGCACCCCCGGAGGTCTGGATTCAGCCCCAGAAGTAGAGGTTCCCCATCGTTGGTGTTGCTACTACTGAGCTAGGTGGGCCGTGGCCTCCCTTGGTGTAAGGCAGACTGGTATGAGCCGAGACAGTTTGCTGTAATACTACATGCACTACTTCTTTATTTCTCTTATTTCTGTCTTGATTAAAATCAAAAGGCTCAAAAGTGCCTTAAGATTTTCACCAGAGCAGCTGAGGCTTTACAGCTTCATTCTGATGTTCCAGAACAGGTCTGCTGTTGGATCAAGGACATCTCCTGACGCAAGGCAACCACATTGTGGTTCTGGCTCACCAAGTTTGTTACCCAGAAACAACTCCTTACTACTATTCCTAGGACATTACATGCTGTTCTCAACCTCTTGGTTTCAAGTCACTGTGAAATAAGCAGAGCCAGAATCTTGTGGCTATGCAATTAGACAGCAGTCATTCCTTTTGGGGTGCGGAGGGTGGCTCTTCTTGGTCATCCAGTTGGCTGACTCCCTGTGAGGTGGGGCAGCACTGTGGCTCACAGCTTGTAAACGACTGGGAGGGAAAACAAATACCCCTTTTTGAGTTGGAGAACAGCCGTGGTTGGGATAGGATTTATTTTTCCTTGCCGTAACTGCTTAACAGGCCTTTGGAAGCCAAAGAATTCCTGGCTGGTATGGCTTTTCCAGAAGCTCTGAAAAACAGTTTATAGGTGAGAATCTATAAATATCTGGTTGTGCTGTCATAGCAGGGGTGAGTGGCCAATTGGTAATGTCACGTGTGCAGTGCTTTCAGGGTGAAGGCAGGGGTGCCCATGTTTAAAGAAAAGCCTAAGTCTCTTAAGCAAGTTAAAATCTGAAGTCTATCAATATTTCTGTTTTGGTTTGGTGCAGAAAGTAAGATACTGTATAGCATTAGTAAAACGAAAATCGCCCCCAAACTTTTTATCATAGATCTCTACTAGGAATTTGGTAATCTTGACTATGGTGCTTTCCCCTGTCGGTGTTGGCCCCCTTGCTGCCTAACTGTTCCAGGAAGAGATAAAGATAGCAAAGCAAAGGCACTGTAAGCCAGCCAAGACATGAGTTAGCTAGCTGGCAACTAATTCTGTGTAGTTAGAAGCCGGTGCAAACAAGCACTTTTGGCTTCATCCTGTGCAGGGGAGGAAGACCGGCAAGAATGATACCTGGAAAGGCAAAAAGTGGGAAGGATGCAGCTTAACGAACAGGCTGATGTGTTGTATCCTATCCTTGATGCCCCTTTCCTTTTGCCTGGATGGTGCTTCAGTTCAAAAATAGCTTATCTCCCTGAATTGCCTAAATGGAAGTGAAACAGACCTCATTGGCATGCCTGAATTGCGATATTTTATGTGCTGGAATGCATCTTGGTTGTGTGCCTGATCACACACTTTATTGCGCAACTAAGATGTGCCCTAGCACCTTGTTAGTTAACTGTAGTTCACCGCAGCAAACTACACAAAAGCCAACAGAATTCTGACCAACAATATGAAAATGTTTGTCGGGATTGGTCTTCTTTCAGTTGATGCTTTACCCTAAGGTTTTTTGGGGGGTGGGGGTGGGTTTAGGCTCAACGTTTCTAGGCCTCCACGTGGTGTGCTGATCCCTCCCAGTAATTTCTCTGAAAGGAAGAATGGTCTAATGGGTTGTACACCAATGATGCTGATGCTCAATTTTTCCCATTTTCTCCCTCAGAACTCCATCCGCCACAACCTCTCTCTGCATAGCAAGTTCATGAAAGTGCACAATGAAGCGACTGGGAAGAGTTCTTGGTGGATGCTCAACCCCGAAGGGGGCAAGAGTGGGAAGGCTCCACGCAGGAGAGCAGCCTCCATGGACAACAGCAGCAAGCTGGCCAAAGTCAGAGGGAAGGCCTCCAAGAAGAAAGCAGCCATGCAGGTGGCTCCAGAGCCTACCGCCGACAGCCCAGGCTCCCAGTACCCCAAGTGGCCTGGCAGCCCTTCTTCCAGAAGCAACGAGGACTCCGAGGTGTGGACCAGCATCCGGCCTCGGACCAGCTCCAACGCCAGCAACCTCAGCGTGAGGCTTTCTCCGATCCTGACTGAGCAGGACGACCTCCCTGACGAGGAGCTCCTCGTCTACTCTGGCGCGTCCAACAACGTTCCGCCCACGGTGACAGAGGAGCTGGAACTGATTGACAGTCTGAACCTGATGTCGCCCAGTTCATCCTTGCTGCCAGCTCCGCAGCAGCCATCCAGCGGCCTGACCCAAAGGAACGCCAGCTTCCCTTTGCAGGCCCAGAGCTCAACAGCCCAGGCCTCGTCCTTCAACAGCTCCCTTTTCAGCCCTGTTGAGATCTCCCTCCACAATTCTGCAGGCCATTTTTCCGGCCCACAGACGCTGGAAGCCCTCCTGACGTCCAACTCTCCACCACCCAGCGATGTGATGATGACACAAGTGGACCCAATTCTCCCACAAAGTGGAGGCAGGTTGAACAGCCAGACTTTCCTGCTCCTGGGGGAACAGCCTTCCAAATCCAAGGTGAGCCCAATCAACCACCTCAGAAAGCCTTTAGAGCAGCAGCAGCAGCAGCGGCAGCAGCAGCATGTAAATAGCGTCGGTGCCAGCCCATTGCCATCTGCATTTTCCATGGTGGCATCTCCTCAGAATGCCATGGGCATGTCTGGCTTGAAGACATCATCATCAGCGCAGTCTCCACAGGTGGTTCAGTTGGGCGCCCAGACATCTTTGTCTGGTGTCGCTTTTGCCCCCTTTGGAGGGAGCCAGGATAGGCTGCCCAATGACCTGGACGTTGACATGTACATGGAAAACCTTGAATGTGATGTGGATTACATAATCAACACCGACCTCATGGATGGAGAAGGACTGGACTTCAATTTTGAACCCATTCCATCTGCTCCCAGCTACCCCAGCACCTCACAGGCCTCCAACCACACCTGGGTACCCAGTTAACTTTAATATGGACAAAGGTAAGCAAATGTTCCATTAACAAAAATGTTGGAACTAAGGGCTGTCTTCCGTGTCCTTTTCTTCCAGCCTGCTTCTTGGTTCTTTAAACTGGATAGTTCAAGAACACAACCACATTGTTTTAAATATCCTGTGTTCAGAAGAGATCAAAAATGCCAAGGTCATTTACTCAATTGCTTGGAGGAAAAGTCTTTAACATCTCTAGGAACTAGTGTGACATTTTATGTGTCAGCCTGCATGGGGTTGGGGGAGGGGGAAAATTGACCCAACTTCTGTGGCATTCAGTGTAATTCTCCAGTGTTGGTTTAATCCAGCATCCATCCAGTCTTGGATGCCTCCCCCATATCAGGCTGAATTTGAGGTGGTCCTGAGGGACTTCTCACCTTAGTAAATAACTTCTCTTCCTGGGATAGTGTTGAAGTTGGGATCCTACAAGGTGGTTTAGTTCTCTAATCCTTTCTTAGAATTTTTGATGTCTTCTCTTTTGCTCTTTCTTTAGTCAAACTAGATATGATGTTATATGTGTTTTACTTTTAATTGTAGGGGTTTTAAAAAATGTAAATAGCTACTATCAACTCCCCCTTCCTTGAACTGTCAAGTTAGGAGCAGGACCGTGTGTGGTTTTTGGAGGGAGAGGGTAATGCCCACTGAGGTTTCATCAGGGCAAAACATTAGCCTCCTTCATTGGAGACTTGATGATGTTTGGGGGTGATGGGGGCAGGTGAGAAACATGATTTTAAAAGAAGAGTATGTTAAATGCTACACTACATATGCTGTCATTGTGATTTTGGCCCCTTTTCTCCCCAAACAGCTGTGCTAATTGACCTTGATTCCAAGTGAATACTTGTCCCAATTTCACAGCACCCTTTCGCCCTTTGTAAATAAGTGGGCTTGTGCATTGGAGAAATGTAAACACGCCAGTGCTCCCTGCAGCCACAACCCTTTTCTCACACAAATATCACCAGACAGGATTGTGTCCTGTTAGGCAGTGGTTTAACCTCCCTGGCTCTAAATCTGCTTTAGGGTTGCCGGGGCAACAACTTAAACAGCAGATGTTGCCCCCCAGATGGTTGCCTAGCAGGTGTCTTTGTGGGTGCCTTTGTGCGCTTCCTCCCTAACAAGAGTGTTCCTAATTCCAGTGGGCCTTGTGGAATATTTTTGTTTGCAGACCATTGTTCTCTGCCCAGCTCCAGATGTGACAAGAAGGCAGGCCCATTTATCTAGGGATACCATGGGTGTGTGTGGAGGGGTGGGATAGAATATTTTTCCTAGCTCTCTTTCTCTGTCTTGGATAAATTTTGTTCAGGAATGGTGAAGTGGGAAACTAGATCACCCATAAACAGATTGAGTTTATGGTTGACTGTTTCCAAACAAGCCCACAGAAGTCTCCAGCACACATGTCTCCTGAAAAAAGAGTCAACTTCTGTAATACATTAAGTTGCCAGTTGGATTCAGGCAATTAGTCCATCTACTAACCCACTGCTGTTTGCTTTGCCTGAGATGCAGACCCTATAGCCTTAGAGATATTGTCATCAGTACTGGCTGGGTTGGTTGGCACTGACAGGTCCAGCAACACCTGGAGGGCTATATGTTTCCGAGCCCCATTCTGATATCTGGTGCATAACTTAGCTCAACGGCCTGAGATTCTGTAGTCTCTCCTTCAGCATGGATAGCATGTGGCCTGTCACTTTGCTAGGACCTCTTTCCATACTTCACATGAATGCCCGGGACAATCAGGCAACTGAATCTTTGCAAATATTTGTGTCTGGTTCCTACCCCCTCTTTTCCCCCCTAAAAGTACACAGCAAGAAGAGACCTGCGTTTCCACCCTCTCTGGACTGGACCAGACCATAATGTCTTGCATTTCTGGCCTTTGGATGGATGTGTAGCTATAAGCTCTGTCCCTTTAGTTCTGTCAGGTCCTTGACTTCTAGCAACCTCTGCAGAAGAAATGAAAAATACAAAGAGGGTCAGCACGGGGATTGCTAAAAGACAAAGAGTGCCAATGGAGGAAGCAGATGCAAGGATTGCTCTGCAGCAGGGTGTGATTGAGGCCCAGAATTGTAGGGAAAGAACCTGGGCTTCTGAAAGTTGCAATCACAAGGGACACAACAGACCAGAAGCAACCAGACAGCGGTGGATTAAAGCGCTGTCTCCAGTGGAGGCAGATTAACCTACATAGGCCTGATGTGGGGATCTTGAACCTCATAAACCTCTGTTTGTGGCTACCAAGACTCCAAGGTTGTAGGGACTCTGGTCTGGGCCATCATCTTCTTAGAAGGTGAGATGCTCCATCAAGGCATGTGATGACAGATATTTGACAGCTGGAGGTGTGTGCTGGATGATGTATGGTTCTGTCGATACTTAGAAAACTTCCTTGCACTTTGAAAACTAAGCCCTTTTCTCTCTCTGTCTTTCCGTTCTTCCTATCAGTGCCCTTCTGGTTCTGGAGCTTTTGCATCCCAGAAGAGTCTAGAAGGCAAGGAGCACCTGGCACCTCTGTCTTATTGCCCTGCAAGCCAGCTGGAGCAAGGGGCAGACCGCTGCAGGAGAAGAGTGATTCTGTTCAGTGCCACGTCTTTTCCTGAGTCTACCGTAAACCCAGCAAGCTCCACCTTGGCTCTCCCCACAGGAACCTGCAGAGCCCCAGGAAGTGCTTTACCCATGGCCAAAGATCTTCTCTCCCTGCAGAAGCCTTCTCCAAATTGATGAGGTTCAGAATCAGCCGTGGTAGGGTGGGAGCTGCCAAGAGGTGGTGCATACTTTTTGCTGACAGCACCTCCCCAGTTGATTTCTGCCTAAGCTCTCCATGGATGCGGCATATTAAGTCTTGATGGGCGGCTGGGTGGGACCCTGGGCGGCTGCAAATCATGTGCTTGCCTGAACGAGGAAGTCCCTTTTGCTGTGTACTTTGCTTGGCTCCTTTCCAGAGGGGAGCAAGCGGGGGAGGCAGAAAGAAGGCAAGCCCGTCTGCAAGAGTTGGCGAGATCATTGCATTCATGCTTTGCCGTACTTGCCGGTGGGCCCTTCGGGAAGTGGAGGCCTGGTCTGGCAAAGCCTACACACACACACCCCACCACCACCACCTCGGTGCTAGGATTACCCTGAAACTGTGACTGCCCTGAAGCAGGTGCTAAAAGCTGTTGCTAAGAAACCAAAACTACTTTTCTCCCTGGGTTCTTTTCTGGGCTGTCGAGCTGCAGCAGAGAAATGGAAAACCCAGATCCCGCCTTAACCAGAGCCCGATTGGTATTCATATTTTTTTTCTTCTTTTCCTAATCAGAAGGGCATTTTCTACAAATGAACTATTTTGGAAGCTTTTTTTAAAAAAAACAAACAAAAACACGAACTAATCTGGACAGGGGACAAGGCTGTGGTAACCTTGAAGCCATGATACGGTGTCTCCAGATCGAGTGCCTTTCCCTCCCTCGGACCACCGGGGCAGCAGCTGTGTTTCTCTAGCCTGCATGAAGGACAGCACGGACAACTTCTTGGGTTCATCAGCTGGCCAGGGCGGTGGGGGTGGGAAGAAGGGCAGCAGGCCGGCCTTGTTCCTTGGAACTGGGGCAGTTGAGGGAGTCGTACATTATAGATAACTACCTGTAAAGCTAGCAGCAGATTAACTAGGAGC